CCCCCACCTTGGGCTGCAAATGTCTGCTTTGCTCGGCATCTTGCTTGGTGTATATATCCCTCTTTTGAAGAAGGATACATCAGACTCTCAGTGCTAAATTAAACCACTTTCCTTTCCTCCAAAACCATGTCCAAAAATAAATAAATTTTGATTTTCTGGGCAGCTTTGACAAAGGGAACTAATGGGCTGATGCTGGTCTGGTGCATAGGAATTTTCAGCCACCTTGAGAGTTGTGTGCAAGTCTAGGCTACACCCTTCAACTTCTGGTGAGTTTGTGAGCATGATTCAGCATCCCTGAATTCTGAGAACTCTGGAGAGACAGACACAAGTCAAGGTTTCTTACTTGACCTGGAGCGCCACTTCCTGCCTGGGTTTAATCATTTGCCTTGTCTGCTCTAACTTAGCAGCCTCAATACTTCTTCTCTTTTTTCTTTTTAGTATTTATTTATTTATTATTTGGCTGCGTCAGGTCTTAGTTGTGGCACGTGGATCTTTCATTTTCAAACTTCAAGTATGTTTGAGAAAATATCCAGAAAATAGCAAGATCAAGTAGAATTAAATTAATACACAACAACTAGGAAAACATCAAGATATGACATTTAAATCCTGCCTAGAAAGATCAAGTAGAAACTTTGCTGTTGATTTGTATATATTTTTGGATTGTCTAAGTTTTTTGGATTCAGTTCATAAAAGGCATCTTTGGTTTACAAACAGCACACTTCAAATGTAGTTTATTTCAATCTAAAGCACATGTTTTATATTTACATGAAATTTTAGCTAGTTATTTTTAGTGAAATATAGAAATTCTTGTATGAAATTCAAAATGCCATGCTTCACATTCAAAATTTTTAGCATGAAGAAGTTGTACTAAAGGAAAAAAAAGAAGATTGCATTCTTGAAAATTCAGGTAAACATTAAAATTTTAAATTTCTTTATATAGTATGTTATGGCAAATAGATGAGGAAATGGTGGAAACAGTGACTGACTACTTTTCTGGGCTCCAGAATCACTGCAGATGGTGATTGTAGCCATGAAATTAAAAGACGTTTACTCCTTGGAAGGAAAATTGTGACCAACCTAGATAGCAAATTAAAAAGCAGAGACATTACTTTGTCAACAAAGGTCCGTCTAGTCAAGGCTATGGTTTTTCCAGTGGTCATGTATGGATGTGGGAGTTGGACTATAAAAAAAGCTGAGTGCCAAAGAACTGATGCTTTTGAACTGTGGTGTTGGAGAAGACTCTTGAGAGTCCCTTGGACTGCAAGGAGATCCAACCAGTCCATCCTAAAGAAGGTTGGTCCTGGGTGTTCATTGTAAGGACTGAAGTTGAAGCTGAAATTCCAATCCTTTGGCCACATGATGCGAAGAGCTGACTCATTTGAAAAGACCCTGATGCTGGGAAAGATTGAGGGCCCAAGGAGAAGGGGACGAATGAGGATGAGATAGATGGTTGGATGGCATCACTGACTCAATGGACATGGGTTTGGGTGAACTCCGGGAGCTGGTGATGGACAGGGAGGCCTGGTGTACTGCGGTTCATGGGGTTGCAAAGAGTCAGACACGACTGAGCGACTGAACTGAACTGAACTGAAATGTGTTTTTAGAAAGCATTTTATACAAAATATTCAAATTTGGAATGCTTTAGAAAAAATGAAATTTATAAGTGGTTCTTTTTTCAGAGAGGATGGAAGACAGGATAGTTGATTTGACTCTCACTTGTCCAGAACATGAACTTAGGCTATTTTTTATTTTCCAAATATGAAACACATTAAAGGAAAACAATCAGATGCAGTTATTCATGTTTTACCAATAAAAGATGAATTATTTTCATCAAGTATTTTTAAAAATTGTTTGTTTGGAGTGTGCCTTTCCAAATCATTCTGGAGATTCTAAAATCTCTGAACATTATTTTTTATTTCAACAAATTTTTAAGGCTGTGTGAATCACAATATTTCAAACTTCTTTTGAAGGAAAATACCCTTTAGTTTTAAATAGAAATTACTTGTCACATTTAAATGAGTTGCTTATAGTTATACATAATTTTGATTTATTCAGTGTCTGCTTGACTAGGTTGCTTGATTTTAGAAACAAATAGTAGTAACTGACTTGCCTTGTGTAATCTAAATTTACTTTGAGGACACAGTAACAACATTTTGATAATAGCTAGTTACTCAGAAGAGGCTTCCCCGGTGGCTCAGTGGTAAAGAATCTGCCTGTCATGCAGGAGACTCAGGGTTTGATCCCTGGGTCTGGAAGATCCCTTGGAAAAGAAAATGGCAACCTGTTCCAGGGTTCTTGCCTGGGAAATCTCATGGACAGAGGAGCCTGGACAGCTACACTCCATGAGGTTGCAAAGAGTCGGACAAGACTTAGCGACTAAACAAGTTACTCAAAAGTGAAGGCTCCTGCAGTAGAGGGTTAGTTTTAATATAACAAACTGCTTCCAAAGAAGAGGTTTTTTTAAAACCAATTTTTAAAAATTGGAGGTGAAATTGACATAAAATTAACAATTTTTAAATGAACGATTCAGTGGCATTTAGTATGTCCACAGTGTTCTGCAACCACCACCTCTATTTAGTCCCAAAATATTCCCAAAGGGAAACTCTGTAAAGCAGTTGCTCTGCATTTCCCCGTTCTGCAGCCCTGGCAACAATCAGGCAGAGTTCTGTCCCTCTGGATTTACCCACTCTGGGATATGTCATGTATATGGAATTGTACAATATGTGATCCTTGGTGTCTAGCTTTTTTCATGTACCATAATGCTTTTGAGGTTCATCCAAATTGTGGCATGCATTTTTAATCAATTTATGTAGGTGAGATTGCCTCCACCGTTGGACAGAATTCTCTTAACCTTATTTATAGAATGTTCCTTCTTAAGAGCAAAAGGATTTTGTGATAATGCCTAGAGGACTTAATATGTTTTACTACGATAAAAGGAGGAAGAAAATAAAGATCAGCCTATCTCACTCTGAAGTAATCTGATACTAGAATTCCTGGCATTTTCAGAGGAAGGAAATTCTGAGCTCATGGAATGACCAGGGGTATAGATTTAGGTCTTGGGGTTACTAGGCAATGGATGCTATGATGTGCCACCCAGATCTTCCCCAGGAAGAAAGGAGTTACTGGGGCGACTACTGGAAGTGCTGCCAGCAGTCAGCCCTCAGCAGCTACCAGCTCCCTGCTGGCCAATCTCAGCTGGAGAGCTGCCCTAGCCAAGCTTATGTTACCTTTCCAGGTGGCTCTCATCCAGAGGTTGATATCATGGAGGTAGAAAGGCTAAGCCCTTTTGTACCAACACAGAACAGCTCAGCCGTGAAGTCCCCATAGAGCTGGCTGAGACCCAGCCCTGCTCCCTTTTCTTCCCTCCCCTTCCACAGGTGTTGATTCCATGAGTGCTCCTCACTAAGCCTCCTATACCTCTGAGTACTCCCAGCTAGACCTCCTGTAAGATGTGCTCTCCACTGTTTGTTCTTTAGTCCCTAAGTCATGTCTGATCTTTGCAACCCCAGATACTGTAGCCTGCCAGGTTCCTCTGTCCGTGGGATTTTCCAGGCAAGAATACTGGAGTGGGTTGCCATTTCCTTCTCCAGGGGATTTTCCTGACCCAGGGATGGAACCTATGTCTCCTGCATTGGCAGGTAGATTCTTAACCACTGAGCTATCTGGGAAGCCCTGTGCTTTCCATTATGCCTCCTGTAAGCCCTGAGTGTTTCCTGCTGATATTCTGTAAACTCACTCCATCTCAGAGTCTGCTTCCCTGGAAACCCAATGTATAGTCCCAAATTTTGCATGGTTCCACGAGGCATTCCAGGAATGAAGTCAGGCACCTTCTCTAAGCTGAGAAACTTAGCTTTTTCCTACTGGAGACTTGCTCTTGTACCAGAGATCATCTTTCCAAGTTAAAATAAGTTCTCCTTTCAAGGTCATTAAAGCAATGTCTCTTCTGGATATTGGATGGGGAGCAATTAAGGATTTTTTTTTTATCTGTTCAGCCCTATTTGAATTGGACTATAAAAGAAAACTGAGCACCAAAGAATAGATACTTTTGAACTGTGGTGTTGGAGAAGACTCTTGAGAGTCCCTTGGACAGCAAGGATATCCAACCAGTCCATCCTAAAGGAAATCAGTCCTGAATATTCATTAGAAGGACTGATGCTGAAGCTGATACTCCAATACTTTGGCCACCTGATGCAAAGAACTGACTCATTGGAAAAGACCCTGATGCTGGGAAAGACTGAAGGCAGGAGGAGAAGGGGACGAGAGAGGATGAGATGGTTGGACGGTATCACCAACTCAATGGATATGAGTTTGGACAAGCTCCGGGAGTTAGTGATGGACAGGGAGGCCTGGTGTGCTGCACTCCATGGGGTCACAAAGACTCGGACACGACTGAGCGGCTGAACTGATTTCCCACGGAAATCATTCCCCGATCTGGCCAAGATGTGCATGTTCAAGGGTTCTTTCACCTTGTCAAGGACCTCAGTGGTGCTAGGTATCAGGAAGGGGATATACTCAAATTTGGGGTTAAATTGTTATACCAGTTCCTCATTTTTATAATACGTTTTCTAGAGGCAGAAAACCATCAGTGTTTAATATGACCTGAGCAAGGATGGGTCTCCCTTTAACTGAGGAGTCCTTATGATTAAAGTAGCCTATAGACCAAAAAAAAAAAAAAAAAAAAAAAACCAGGGCAACTTATCCTTATAGGGCGTATAGAAAAGATGTACACGGAGGGTGGCTCTATGTAAAACCCTGCCTGAAGTGACGAACACCTTTCTAGATTGGAAACAGCTCAGCCAGAGCTGATGTGGGGTTCAGCAAGGGAAGGGAGAACGGAGTTTACAGATGTACGTAGCAGTCTTTACAGTCATAGGAAAGGACCCTCATGGCTTACACTGAAAAGAGCCTCAACTCCAGCCAAGCAGAGCATTAAGCATCTATCGACTTGCTGAGTTTCACTCTTTCCTTGTCCAAATACCGGTATATGGTGCTATTCTGTGATGGAGGGGCAGAAGACTACCTCCCTTCAGAAACGACTCACTGCCGATGGTCTGCTGGTACTGGCCTCTGTCCTTCCTGCTCCATCCTGTGTGTCCCAGCCTGCCCCACCCCTGCTCCTCACTCTCATGCTCAGCCTCCATCTCTGTGTAGAACAGTGTAGTTCCCCCTTTTCTACACCGTTTATCAGAGGGAATCTTTACACAGCCCGACGACCTATTAACACCTTTCACCAAATGAAGACAGTTCTTTTTTTTATTATTATTATTGTTATTATTGTTAATAGCAGTTGTATTTGTAATAGACAAAAACAACAGGAAATGACCCAGATATTATCCAATGGATGAATGGATAAACAACTGGGATCCATTAAAATAAAAAGGAGCAAACTTACTGATACACTTAAAAACCCAGATGGATTTTTAGAGAGCTAAGCTCAGTGAGAAAAGCCATCCCGAAGGCTCTATATTGTGTGGTTTCATTTGTATAACATTTTGGGATTTTGGGCTGCACCTCCATGGCTTGCAAGATCCTAGTTCCCCCAGCAGGGATCAAACCTGTGCCCCCTGCCATGAAAGCTCAGAGTCCTAACCACTGGTCCTCCAGAGAAGTTCTTTACATAATATTTTTGAGATGACAGTTAACACAAGTGGAGTACAAAATAGTGGTTGCCAAAGGTTGATGAGAGGGTGGAGCAGGAAGGAAATAGGTGTGTCTATGAAGAGCAACCTGCAGGATTCTTGAGTCTATGGAAACATTCTGTATTGAGATGATCTGCGTCCGTGTTAATATCCTGCTTGGGATATGTGCCACATATTTCCCACAAGATGGGAAAACTCAAATCTCTCTGCATTATTTCTTATAATTGTCTCAAAATAAAAGGTTTAACATAAAAAACCTAAATGAATGAGATTATAACAGATTCTGTATTGGGAAAAAGAGGTGATGTAAAGGACAATGTTGCGGCAACTGGCAAAGTTTGAATATTGATTGTATATGCTTAAAAATAATGTTGTATTAATGTTAAATTCTTTGAACTTGATAATAATTACACTGGGGTTATATAAGAACATATTTTAGGTCTGGCAGATTCATTAGATTATTTAGGGCTGATGAATCTTGATTGCTGCAATTTTATCTCAAATAAGCCAAAAAAAAAGAAAAAACTGACAACATATATAGATATAGGGGAGTGTAGGTGTGTATAAAAGAGAAAAACAATAAAGCCAAATGTGCCAAAATGTTCTTCTGGGAAATTGTACGCATACCTTTGAATCTATGTCTTACAGCTGTTTCAAAGATATTAAATTTTATTTAATTTATTAAATTTGATTTATTAAATTATTTTTATTTATTGATAAAGTTGATAAAGTGCAAAATAAAATATTAAAATGCAAAACCCAAAGCACTTCCACTTTAATCATTTTACCTACATTACTCCTTTTATATAAGTCAAGAAATGTATGTAATAGCCGCTGCTCTTTTCTATGGTTTTCAAGCTAAGGAATCAAGTAGCAATGGTTAATCAGATCGAAGAGAAGAGAGGACTTTAGAGTTTAGCCTTGCGCCGGTTTAAACCTCCAAATTGAATACTACAATTCAATTGGCCCTTTAAGCTAAGCGCTCCTTAGCCCCGTTTAAAGAGAAACTGTAGTTCATTTACAACAGAGGCCCACGAGGTGGCAGCATGGAGCATTACAGGGGGTTTATATGTAACCATGGGAAATTTCAGTTCAGTTCAGTTCAGTCGCTCAGCCCTGTTCCAGTCTTTGCGACCCCATGGACTGCAGCACACCAGGCTTCCCTGTCCATCACCAACTCCCAGAGCTTGCTCAAACTTATGTCCATCGAGTCAGTGATGCCATCCAACCATCTCATCCTCTGTCGTCCCCTTCTCCTGCCTTCAATCTTTCCCAGCATTAGGGTCCTTTCCAGTGAGTCAGTTCTTTGCATCAGGTGGCCAAAGGATTGGAGCTTCACCTTCAGCATCAGTCCTTCCAGTGAATATTCAGGACTGATGGGGAGATTTACCTAGTTCCTTTTACAGTGGTAGAACTTGTGTGGAAAAGTGGCAGAGTTCTGGTCTGTTTATGTATCTCTGTGAGTGTTGTGGAGAAAGAGGTAATATAAATGAATGGGAAACTGAAGAATCATTGGCATAAATTTGGTTGTCTGTTAACACTCATATTGGTAGGATCTGGGTTTAAGTTGGGGCAAACTTTCAGGGGCCTTTCATAGCAAATATGAAAGGTGGTCATGTTTTCTCCGTTACTGTAGTTTTTGATGCATGTCCTATACAACTTTGTGTCACCCTGTGTATAGCAGATGTTTAATAAGTGTTTATTTATTTTTTTGGTGCATCAGGCTGCCTCCCTTTATTCAGATAAAATAGCTGTATGTTTTGATGAATGTAACAACCAGCCTCCAGTTTATTACACCTACAAGACAGTGGTTAATGCTGCTTCAGAATTATCAAATTTTCTGCTATTGAAAAGTGAAAGTGTTAGTCGCTCATTCGTGTCCAATTCTTTGTGACCCATGGACTGTAGCCCGCTAGGCTCATCTGTCTATGGAATTCTCCAGGCAAGAATATTGGAGTGGGTAGCCAGTCCCTTCTCCAGGGGATCTTCCTGACCCAGAGATCAAGCCCTGGTCTCCTGCGTTAGAGGTGGATTCTTTACCATCTGAGCCACCAACACTGATAAATGTTTATTAAGGTGAGTTTAATTAGATTAGGAATAATTGTGGCATGATGGAAAGGTCTGAGTTTATGTTTAACTTTAGTTAGGTGGAATATAGAGAGACTTTAGAAAATGTAGAATTCTCGCGATTGTAGGAGCAGATGGTCTTCCAGAGGTAGGAAAAAGTCTGATTCTAGGTTATATCTGAAGATGTGAGAATTGAAGCTACTTTGGGTATCTGAAAAGTGTTTATTGTAGCAAAATAGTTAGTATGACAATAGAGTTAGATAAATGTATAGTTAGATGTGGGAATATAGTTAGAGTGGGTGTATTGTTAGAAGGAGCAGTATAATTAGCTATGGGAACATAGTTGGGTATGGCAAGGTAGCTAGCTGTGGAAGCATAGTTAGTAAAGGTATGACAGGATAGTTAGCTATGAGAGCATAATTAGGCACAGCAGTTAAACATGGGAAGTCAGGAGTGAGGTAAGAAAGGGCACATTGGAAGAATAAAAATGATGGGTGTGCTGGGGCACAGATGAACCACTTGTTTCATTATTTTCCAGTTTTTGCTCTGTGTCGTGCTCTGAAGATGAGTACTATTTATTTTTCATCTTTGATTTCATAAGAAGTTGAGCACAATGCCATGTTTATAAAGTTGACACCAAATAAGTGTTTCTTGGGCTTCCCTGGTAGCCCAACTGGTGAAGAATCTGCTTGCAGTGCGGGAGACCCCGGTTCAATTGGGGCTTCCCAGGTGGCACAGTGATAAAGAATCCGCCTGCTGACGCAGGAGCCGCAGGAGATGTGGTTTCGATCCCTGGGTTGGGAAGATCCCCTGGAGTAGGAAATGGCAACCCACTCCACTATTCTTGCCTGGAAAATTCCATGGATGGAGGAGCCTGGCAGGCTACAGGCCATAGGGTCGAAAAGCGTCAGACACGACTGAGCACACATGTACCAGTCCAATTCCTGGGTTGGGGAGATCCCCTGGAGAAGGGATAGGCTACCCACTGGAGTACTCTTGAGCTTTCCTGGTGGCTCAGATGGTAAAGAATCCACCTGCAATGCAGGAGACCTGGGTTCGATCCCTGGTCCAGTATTCTTGCTTGGAGAATCCCCATGACAGAGGAGCCTGGCTGGCTACAGTCCACGGAGTGGCAAAGAGTTAGACATGACTGAGTGACTTAGCACAGCATAGCACAGGTGTTTTTTAAATCAGATACATTTAGGTGGTCACAGTTGGCTGTGTAAAGTGATAGGTCAGAAGCTGACTAAAGTACATGTGCTTTATTGATAACAATGATTATGGCTAGCATTTACAGGGTGCTTCCTATTTTTCATGAAATTGTACTAAGTGCTTTCTGTGTATTATCTCACCTAATCCTGACTGCAGCCACAGGGGCTGATGACATATGTTGTTTTCCCTTGCCGACATCCATCCCTTTTTTGGTAGCTCCATTTGATTTTCATTAGGAAACCCACTCAGTCCAACTGGCTTACTTTTCCTCTCGCCCCCATTCTTCTTCACGTGAATGAAGGTATATTCCTCCCTCTAAAAAAGCATTGGTTCCATTTCAGGCCAATTAAAGTTGGACCCAGGCCTGTGAAGGAGCTCCTATCTTCTGCTGAGATTATCAGCAGCAAAGATGGTGAAATCCAGTGTCACCCAGAGCCTGAGAGTGTCACTAACTCAGAGCCTCCAGAGGACAGTGGAGCGTCTTAGCCTGTTTGTGTGTTCCTGTGTCCGTTGTTCAGTCGTGTCCAACTCTTTGTGACCCCGTGGATTGTAGCCCGCCAGGCTCCTCTGTCCAAGGGATTCTCCAGGCAAGAATACTGGAGTGGGTTGCCATGCCCTTCTACACTTAGTCTGTCCGGGCTACTGTAACTGAAATTCCACAGACTGGGTGGCTTACACACAGTTCTAGAGGCTGAAAGCCAGGATGAAGGCACCAGTAGATTCAGTGTCTGGAGAGGGCCTGCTTCCTGGTTCATACATAGCTCTCCTCTCTCTGTATCCTTATATGGCAGAAGGAGTGAGGACGCTCTCCGGGGTCTCTTTTATTGGGTGCACAGTGCTCAGTCATGTCCAACTCTTTGTGACTCCATGGATTGTAGCCTGCAAGGCTCCTCTGTCCATGAGATTTCCCAGGCAAGAATACTGGCGTAAGTTGCCACTTCCTTCTCCAGGAGATCTTCCCAACCCAGGGATCGAACCCACATCTCTTGTGTCTCCTGCATTGGCGGGTGGATTCTTTATTATTGTGCCACCTGGGAAGCTCCTTTTATTAGGGCACTAGTCATATTCCAATCACTTCATGAGAAATATATGTGGAAACAGTGGAAACAGTGTCAGACTTTATTTTTCTGGGCTCCAAAATCACAGCAGATGGTGATTGCAGCCATGAAATTAAAAGACGCTTACTCCTTGGAAGGAAAGTTATGACCAACCTACATAGCATATTTAAAAGCAGAGACATTACTTTGTCAACAAAGGTCCATCTAGTCAAGGCTATGGTTTTTCCAGTAGTCATGTACAGACGTGAGAGTTGGACTGTGAAGAAAGCTGAGCGCCGAAAAATTGATGCTTTTGAACTGTGGTGTTGGAGAAGACTCTTGAGAGTCCCTTGGACTGCAAGAAGATTCAACCAGTCCATCCTAAAGGAG